TTTTTTTTTTTTTTTTTTTTTTTTTTTTTTTTTTTTTTTTTTTTTTTTTTTTTTTATATACTTCACATTCTATGATCCAAGGAGGGCTGATATTCGACTAGTTTTCTCTATTCACAATCAAATTTTAATTGAATTTTTATTTCAACATTTTAAAATTTTTAGAATGTTCTTTCGTGAGCTGAAAAACATTTTTTCGGGAAAATAATTTTCTTAGAAAAGTACACAAAACAAAAGTAATAACAAACATGTTAACACTCGATTACCTTATTTAAATTAATTTCTACAAAATCAAAATTAATATTTTGGAATATATTGTAACTTCATGAATCATAATAATGATCAAGATTGACATACTTGACTTAGTTGGTCATGTAATTTATTGCTATCTTGAATTTAAGTTCATTGAAGTTAGCTAGGTAGTTGCATGAAAATTTTAAAATAATTATTGAAGAGACATGCATAAATAAGTTTATTGAATATAAAAAATAAAATGAATGTGAGAAGGAAGTTTCAGTGGGCATAGACAAGGCAGCTTGGTTAGTAGACCACAACAGCGGGAAGACCTTGACTTTGTATGTCCGTACATTTGTCGCCTTACTCTAATTTCTAAAATTTTCCAACATTCAAACCTTTGGAATAATTTTCTTTGCTTTTCCTTTTTCATGAATTTTATTATTATTATTATTTTGTTTTTAGTTGTTATTGTTACTGTTTGTGCCTAATTCTAACTGTTTTCTCATTGTATTTATATGGCAGTCTTAATCTTCAAACTCTTTAATTCTTAGAAATACTATTATATACAAATAAATATAAGTTTCAATATAAAAAAGAGTATAGAAATTTACGCGCTCATTTTTGTTTTCTTTTTCAAATCTGGAAGACAATGTATATCATAATTACCTGAGTATTATGATAAGCCTCCTCTGTGGTTTGGATAGCAAATTCTTCTGAGCTCATTGTAGTTGTCGATGTCGAAGTTGTGAGACGCCATGAGTTTCGTCTGCTTGGCTTTGAAACGACGTCGGAAGACGCCTTCGAAAGTGGGCTCTGTGGAGGTTGAGAGGAAGAAGCCATAGCCGAGGGTAAAGTAAAGGGATGTCACGAAGAAGCAAATGGGCTCCATTACGTCCCAGCTTAGCTCCCAGAATGTGAGCCTCATGAAGCCCAATGTCTGGCCCATCACAAGGCCCAATCCGCAAAATAACTCGGCCTGAACTTGGGCCTTGGCCTTTTTGTCAATCGCTGCCTTCTGCCTCTCCATTTCGGATAGTTGTTTGAATCTTGGGTCGTCTGGCGTTGCTATAGATCGAGATATCATCGTTTCCATTGATTTTGCCACCTGCAAACATTTCGAATTTCATTTAAATCAAACAATTTTCACTGAAAAGGTCACCATTTTGTCCCAAATTTTAAACTTCTTCAAACATTTTCCCCTACTCTGCATATTCGTCTAGTACTGTTCATCGTCATCGTCCTCTTAAATCGGAATTTCCGTAGGGGTTGGATTGGGCCAGTTTTCTTTTTAGTTTGTAAATTTTCACCTCGGAACATCTAATCGGAATTTTAATTATACCTGATCAGGGCGGAGGAATACAATGTTCCCAAGGACGATGACGCTGCCAGATTTATCCAACAACTTGGCGAATTCAGCACCATCATCCTTGTTTCCACAATCATCAATACAAATCCGAGTGAACTCAGAGTAGGAAATCGAACTCCTCGGGATATCTCTAAGTTTCGCCTTAAGCTTCTCGACCTGTGACAGCCTTATGATTTTCCTGGCATCGTCAATCGAGATTCCACATCCAGAAACAGAGCATTCATTTTCTAACGAAGCCGGAGGTATGAGGCCGTCGAGCCGTATTCGATCTCCAGTAATGTTGCTACCTCCGATCTTCTCTCGAAGCTTATTGCCAACCGACGTAGACAACAACTCCGAGATCGGAGGTGTGGAAGGCGAATGATAGATGGCTCTCCTATGAAGTAACCGCCGGAAAACGGCCTTGACAGCGGAATCCATTGGAGGAGAAAGGTAATCGCGGCGGAGGCTGAAACAGAGAGATGGTGAAAAAGGATTAGTTCTGTAAGCATCAAGAAAGCGCTTGCAAAGAGGTCTCCGGAACGCCATTGATGGAGAAGAGAGGAAGAGGAAAGAAATTGGGGGAGGGGAAATTGTAACGTAAAATTAGGGCACAGAGTTGGAATGACGAGAGGAAGAGAGAAGAGGAAGGGGTTATATAGGTATAACCATCCAAAGGAAGAGGAAGTGAACGGCAGTAAGTAGCGTGGGCCCCGGCTTGTTATTTGTCCTCAGCTGACGTCAGCACCGAATCAACCTGAAGAGAATCTAAATTAATTATATCAAGATTTTACCAAAAATAAATTATTCCAGCAAATGCTAAATTAAAATCGTAAAATTACCAATTTACCCTCCATTTCCATCTTTCTTTTTCAAAAAACCTGAGGGTGTCGTCTATGCACCGAAGCAACCCATGCTGTTTTTTTTGTCTTGGTTTGGGAATTTGCTATAATAAACTATGGCTGCCATGAAAGGGGATGTTAAGTTGTTAACCATATAGATTCTCTCATCCAAAGGCACCCCTTTTCATCCATAATAATATATACGACGACGACGTTATAAATAAATATATCAATTATTTTTTTGTGAGATAATTGCAATTTCATTTCGTGAAACGAATAAGAGAGTTGAAAAAGAGATGAGAACAGAGCCAATGAAGGTCATACCCTGTCTCGTGAACATCTCTAGAAGATCTCGAGAAGAGAGGCGTCAAAAGCAGGAGGGCATAGTAGCTAGTGAGCGATGGGGGAAAGAAGGGGTGAGCTAGTGATGTAGCACACAACAAGACATCCTCCCAGTGTTTTGTTATTACTTGCCCCTCACGACTCACGCGACACTCCCTTAATTTCTCCCCCTTCATGCTTTTTGACCCCTCTTAAACTATTAGCGCACGCCCACGACACGATACATGGAATCAATATTCCTTTAACGTTAACTCTTCTCATCCAACTCTGAACCAGAGAAATCATTGACAACCACTTGGGCTTTCTCTGCATTTTAAATGGGCCCAATCTCTTCCTTCCATAAATATCCAAACTAAAGCAGGCTCGGCCCAAATCTCACATTGGCCCATATTGAAATGTAGTTAGTATTGGGCTACAAAATCAGGCCCATAACGAAAAGGTGTTGATCCCACAAATCTTCAAAAGCACCGAAATTTTCCACTCACCGAGATTTAGGCGGGAATACGATTTAAAATTCAAAAAATGCCACAAGGATATTTTTCAACCTAACCGTCAAAATTTGTAGCCGTTAATAATTTAATTTAATATATATTTAAATTTATTGTGGAGACTGTCGAGTGTGACTAAATAGTGGGGGGTCTGGACTATAGCAGATTGAATTGAATGAGGAGAGATGAGAGTTTGGTATCTAAAAATAGACAGCAAAACGTGAGAGGGCCCCGCTTTGATTCTTAAAGATCTTTCTTTTCTTTCTATACTTTATTTCACGCATTCAATTACACCTTCATAGCTGGCCCCCTCTTCCCTCTGCTATTTCTTTTCCTCTACTCGTCAATTCATTTACACCATCCGAGAATTGAAGGGATCATTCGTTATAACACTCGTCTTAAAACCATAAGACTGACGATAATACATAACGGGCTAAAGCGAACAATATTTACTAACAATGGACTCAAACTGTTACAAATGATATTAGAGCTAAATATCGGGCGATCCCGTCCTAATGATGGTGGATTGTGAGATCCCACATCAGTTAGAGAGAGGAACGAGTCTCCCATAGGAGGGTGGATTGTGAGATTCTACATCACCCACATCAGTTAGAGAAGGAAACGAGCACCCACCAAGGGGGTGGATTATGAGATCCTACATTGGTAAGAGAGGGAACACATAATTTCTTATAAGAGTATAAAACCTCAAGAGGGGAACGAATTCCTTAGAAGAGTGTAAATATCTTGGGAGAACAAATCATTCTTTGTAAAAGTGTAAAAACTTCCCCTAGTAGACTAGACGAATTTTAAAATCACGAACCTAACAGAGAGCATACAATATTCACTAACAATTACCTCAAACGGCTTACATTTTCACTTTAAGTGAGTTGCTAGAAAATTCAATAACCTTTTTGAAAAAAAAATCAGATGACTTTCTTCTCATGAATATGAATCTATAATCTTTAACAAAAGTTACAAAAACACAACAGATGAACATAATCATGTGGGTTTTACAGCATTTGTACAGATGAATATGCAACATAACAGAAGCCAAGAATAAAGACTGCGGTTAGACATTGATTCATTCGTATAATCGAGATGTCAAGAAACAAAGATAAAGCATTAAAAGAATATACACATTCATTTCAAGATACCCGGTCTCCCAAGTCAGCATTCAATCCATCGAGGCTTAGGAAAATGAAGTCAGCAAGGACTTCTTAGTTTTCGTAGGTCTATTTGCCAGTCATACATACATTATATAATTACTATATTCATCTACCATAATTACACTAACAAAAGGGTAACGATACCTCGATAACAAGCCAAGATACTTATATTACAGAGAACCATTAATGCAGCGGGGAAGTGGGAATTTCGGGTACTGCTGTTTCTTGAGTTAGAAATGGTGGAATAAGCTTGGTGTTACAGCCTTTACTCATCATTTGCAGATGGTTTTGAGTCTCTTTGCAGCGTGGACAAACCCGACAATCACCTGTAACTCGTCGATTTGCTGCACAAGCATTGTGAACAAACGAACATGTTATGGGACGTGTACACAACAATTAACGGTTAGACCAAGAAAATTAATTACCTGTGACATGAAATGCCTTTGAACAACATCCACCAGCTGCTCTTTTGATGGGTTAGGAAAAGCATCCACCTAGAAGACATGGAATTCTCTCAATCATGGTGGTAGAAACTTGCAGCTTAACCAAACTATCACACACTTGTATCAAAGTAGCGGTAACTTACAAGATTGAAGTGTCGCCAATATCTCCATAGGGCAGACATCTCAAGTTTACCAAGGTCAACTTTCTGTACAGGGAACATCATTAATCAAAACCCAACTTAAATTACAAGCGTAGTATCATTTCATTTAAAAAATGATCAGTTTCTTAAGTACCATGGACCCACGAGGGGTGGAAATAGATCCTTTGGACTGCGATTCATAAGAGAAGGATCGGCCGATGGTTTTGTGTGACGATCCCGATGATTTGTGCGTCCGATGTCTTGGTCTATGGGACTTTAGAGTGTCATCAGATGCTGGGAAATCAGAATACCAAAAGCATTATGAAAAAAGTAAAGCATGGGGAGGGGCCAGAAGAGAAGGAATCAAAGACACAACAAGGTTTCAAATAAAGTAAAAGGTGAATGAGCAAAGAATCCTAAGTACCAACCTCAAACCACTATTCCTAGAACGCATATCATTCCACAACAACTACAGAGGACCAATGAAACAATTACCCAAAACAAGCAAGCGTTTTAATTATGAATACCCTAATGAGAATCGAACAAAAGTGAAGACAATAAGCTTTTTTTTGGGGCCTTTTTACTATGTTTAATTGATGCCAGCTTACAATATTCACTAATCTAATCCGTTTGAAGAATCGACAATCAATTGTTGTTTATTCAATCAGGGAACAAGAATAGGAAAGATTCTGAAGTTACCCATATCGGATCCATTCCAGTGTACGTTTTCAAATTCGAAATCATCATCGTCCTCGTTGCCAGTCGGAGCTCCGATTACACTGAGGGCATTTCTCTGCAACTTAACTTCAATGCCGTTCGTGAGGACCTGAGGATTTTTTAATTTCGAAATTAAACGCTAAACCTAGAATGTACCCAAAATCTAGTGACCTGCAGATTTCAAAAGAACAATCCCACTGTTCTAACATCAATGCGATAGCTGGATAACCATGGAAACAAACTTCAAAATTCTTAGGAAGAATATCCGAAGGAAACAGAACAAGAATCTGGCGAGATTCGTGAAATTATGAAATCGGAATTCAATAAAAAAAAAAAAAAAAAAAATCAATATTGCAATAAATGGATTTTACATTGTTAAAGAAAACCCCATCTCCAATCACCAGATCCATAGGCCAAATTGAACATGCAATTCATAGCTCAAAGCCCAAAATCAAAGCATACAACCGATTCTCTTTTCATAGTAGATTCAAAACTCGTAAATGGATGTAATAAACAGAGTGAACATACAATAATAACTGGAAACCACAGCGACAAAATTGATTAAAAACCCCCGATAAAACAAAATTGTGAATTGGGGAAAACAGCATTGACACTCGAAATTGATTCAATCCAGACTCATTGTGCCTTAGCTCACTCACACAAACAGGTCAATTAAACAAAGTGACATACCAGCCAATGCCATCCGCCCAAACCAACAGCCTTTTTAACAACGCCTTGAAGTCCGACGAGCACCGATTTGGTGCGGTTGTTACCGGTGACGACAACTTTCGTATGACGAGGGAGAACAGAAAGCTCCTCCTCACTACTATCGCCACTGGTCTGCAACTGCGAGAAGCCGCCATTGACGGAGCTCTCCACTGCTTCAAGCATTCCCGAATCCTTCGGCAATCAATTCGAGCCAACAGGGGAAAATTCAATAGAAACAGAGCTTGGAAATTAGACGATGCAGAAAGATCAAGGAGTTTCGAGCATGTTTTCGGGAATTTCAGCAGCAAAAGACAGCGAAATCGCAGAGAAATTTGGGAATTTTCGTCGACAACAAACACACAGCAGAGTAAGAGAGAGAGAGAGTAGAGAGAGAATGTGTGCTTTATTTGAGAGAGAGAAATGAGAGTGACTTGAATTGTTCATTGGTGTGTATTGCTACGAATCCCAACGTCTTTAAAGCAACCAATTACATGCCGCCACGTGTAATCAGATCACTCTCTCTAATTCTTTCCCAAAAATCATCTTTACTATTATTCTCCTTCTTCCTCCCGCCTTTCAAATAAATATCTCCCGACCCCTAGAAATTACATTAATTACATTAAATCAATCACTAATAATTAATTAATATATTTATATATTTATATAACGAAAAATAAAAAGGAAAAGAAAAAGAAAAAGAAATTTCTCTCGTGATTTTTCTTGCTTTGTATGAAAGAGGAAAATGTATGGTAATTACGTTGTAAAAAAACTCGACAGGAGGACAGAAAACCGCTAAGCGGTTTTGTTTTTTTAATACCAGAAATGTGGCAGGCAAGGTGACAGGATGGGGAAATGACGAGAATGCCCCTAAACGATATTTCAATGTCTGTGGACATGGACACAGAGGCAAAGAGAATCGGAAGTTGATTTTATATTTATTATTTAGGGTTTATTAATTATTATATTGTTATTTTTATTAAGAAATAAAATTAGGGGAATGGGACATGAGTCAACCCAAATGAGTGCCTCAAATTACGTTGGAACCCACAGTGACAGCGTTTTGTACTGTCCTTACCACACCCTGTCCTTTCAATCACTGTTTCTTCTTACCCTTTTCTTTTTCCTTCAAATTCAATGTTTTGGAATTAATTTATTAGTATAAAGTTCAAGTTTGAAATTTTAATTTGTCTGAATTCAATCTTCAAATAAATATTTACTACTAGTTTAAACAATCATTAGAACACATTTATAACTTTATAAAAAATATAGTTATTGAATTTAAATAATGTAAAAGTGTTATTTTATACTTTATTTAAAAAGTCATGTACCAAAATAGAAAATATCTAAAATAGTTAGACCAAAATGCTATTTTTTTTATTTTTTTTTTTCTTTCTTTAGGTATACGTATGGGTGGAAGGAGGGTGGCGTGTCGTATTGAAATTGTGAGTCACGGGATTACGTTAAATTGGTTGGCGAGCATACGTGGAAGAGGACAGAAGGATTTAGTCCGTTGGATCATTTCCCGCCAGGATAAGGAATGATGAGCCGTTGATTGGTGAGACGAAGGTGGATTGGATGGGAAAATGATAATCATAGCTTTTATCTAGAGAAAAAAAAAAAAAAGAAAGAAAAATAAATAAATACATAAATAAACAAAACTGTACCCTGTAACGCATAAAGCCGACGAAAGCTGTAGAGCTTGTGTCGTCCTCCTGTCATCCACTTCCCGCACATCGCATTCCGAATTGTCAATTTCAACTCCTGTTTTCTTTTCTTCCAAATTTTCAACAGTTCATCTTTAATCCTTATAATACGCATAAACTAAATATGTGACTAAAAGGAGCATAATTCAACCTACATAATATATAAATATGCATACATACGTACATACATACATACATACATACATATGTGTATGTATGTTTCTACTTCTTTATTGAAGTTGAGGTTGAGGAAGAATTGTCAACATTTTTAATTAAAAGAAAATTTTCTTCTCTAAATTTGTGCCAACTAGCTCTAAGTTTATTTTTAGTCAAATTTAACATTCAATAATATTATTAATGAGCTTTATTAAAAAAAAATATTAATACACAAGGAACCTTTCAAGCAATAGCAAGAAAATTGATAAAACACTTAAATATCATGAATTTAGCCTAATTTTTGTATTGCTTTATTGGTTAATTTTAATGAATTATTTGTTGGGTTTCAAGCAGGAGGCATTGCGACGGCAACGAAATCATTGGGCCTTCCCGGGAACTTGGGCCCACATTTCTATTGGGCTAAAATTTGCAAGGAGGCTTAGGACCTAATGAGTCCGAATATTCGAATTCGACCCTGGAATTCTGCGACTCGTAACCTTAGATCATACGGAAACTACTAATGTTATAAATGTTGGAGTAAGAGAAACATACCATTGTTCTTATGCTCTGCCACTGAAGCGTGTTCTGAAGGTTGAAAAATAGTTACAGGAAGCCAACATGTTTTTGTCGTCTGTAAATACAAATTACAATTAAGAATTCTAAACAAAGGAGAACTTAAACTACTCAGGATCAGACCATCAGAACCATTTTATCACACTGATTTCTAAGATTAGTTAGAGATAACCTTTTATTTCTTCTATGAACATGTCAAGATCTAGTCTCCAAAGCTCCGGTGAGCAACTCCGATGGCTGATCTTCTACTCTTAATTTCATACCATCGCACTCTTGATATCTGAAGCAATCGACTAAGTGATCGTTAACAATTCCGGTAACCTGCATGAAGGAATAAACCACAGTTGGCCCAACACAACGAAAGCCTCTTCTTAGCAAATCCTTGCTCATGAACTCTGCTTTCGGCGTCTTTACTGGTATTTGACGGGCATATCGAAATCTGTTTGTTATAGGCTTCTTGTTGACAAAGCTCCAACAATAGTTGCTGAAGGTACCAAATTCCTGTTGAATCTGTGGAGAAGTCAAAAGGCAATGGAAACGTAGAGATTCAGCTTTCAACCGCTTGAAAGGGATGGAAGTTGAGACAACCAAACGCCTGTTCTTGTGGGTTGGCTTTGGCTTAACAAAAAATAGCAAGTGCTAAAGCTTAACCAAAACTCAATACCTTGAGTACTTGATTAGCGTTCTCCACGATTGCACGAAGCTTTGGTTCAGATAGGAGCTGGATGCCATTTTCTTTTAGTGTCGTAAACTCATTCTGTGTGAACTGTGCGATGGTAGATGGGTCAAAATCGTTAAAAACTTTCCTGCAAAGAAGAGAGAAACGGATGACAATTTAGAACAATGTTCTTCTAGGGACTGATTTGTATTCAAGTTTTGGGCAAAAATGAAAAGTAAACCTAAATATATCTCTCTTGCAAAGAATCAAGGGCCAAGTAAGCTCTGCTAAGGCTTGCGATAGTACAAGTAACTCGAACAGCTTCCTGTCGTCATGAACTGGGACTCCCCATTCTTCGTCATGGAAGGCGATGTAAAGTGGGTCTACAATAAGAAACCATCACAATACACTACAGGATAACCAGAGATTCATAATCGATGTGAATGTAACTGCTTTTTAAAAATAGTTAAATTCACATATAATAATGAATTGTAATATTCAAATAACATAATCAATAAAATCCTTCATGCAACAATAAAATATGAAGAGACTAAATATTTGATTGCATTACAATACAATAATCAAAATATTTCAATGCAAGTACAAAATGAGTATGGAACTAAGATAAACTCTATTATTATGTTCCGAATTGAAATTGTGCGATTGTTTACTGTCCATCTCATATCCATTGTTTCCTCGATTCAAATAAGCAATAGTTAATAATAAGCAGAGTTTAAGCTTGCTTACCAGAATAAGGCGTTATCCAACCACAGCGTTTCCCCGGAACCGAGAGCCTAGGCGTCGTTGTGGTTACGTTTGGATCACCTCCGGCAGCAACAGCCTTCACAGGCTTCACTTTCGGATTCAACAATTTGGCCGAATTGTTGCTTGATAAAGAATCGGATGAGCAGGAGCTCCCGATGGAGATATTGTCTCGAATAACCGATTCAGGAATCGCCGGAAGCGCCTTGTTCTGCTTCTCTGAGTTCTTCAAAGTCTCCTGTTTACATTTCGGCTTCTCAGGCGCCCTATCTCTGTTCCCGCCGGGTCCAAGAATTGCTCGGGACTCCAAAACCGGTTTAGCGTGCGAATGGAGCTTCGTAGCCACAGACATTGCTCGAGAAAGATATCCGTCAACAAAAATCCCTTCCAGAATCGAATTCTGTGTGGATCAAAACAAAGCAAGCTCAGCAACGAACGTCGAATTTTCCAGAGACAACACAACCGTACGATATGAAGGCGAGATGAGACGAAAATGAAGAGATTATTGATACTGCAAATGCAAAAAAGCTTTAAAGAAAGCCTTACGGTTTGGGAGTGAAGAGCAGAAAGGCGTCGTGGCGAGAGAGAGAGAGCAGTGACTCCGTAAGCAGAGAACGACGAAGAAACGGGTCGATAGCTGAGAGGATGTTTAAGCGGAGGAAGGCTTGTTTGGATTTGTACGGGATACCTACAACAGCCGGTGACAATGCACGCGTGGCTATGGAACTTTACCTGTTTATCTTCAAGTAGGACTCAATTTTGATTCAACACCGTACTCGTTAAATTTGTTCAAAGGTTAGGAATTACATTGCATGTAAAAATTTTGTTAATATTTTAGATTAAAAAAAAAAACAAAGGCTAAAATAGTCTTATTTATTTATTTATTTGGAAATACAGATCAAAATTCTTCAAAATGAAAGTACAAGAGTAATTAGCAATCATTACCCTTAAAAAAAACTACCATTCTAATTGTCTTATTATTATTTTTAATTTATTTAATATAAAAAATATTGAAACATCTTATTTTTAATTTGTTCTAATAAACATTTAAACTTTTAATTCTTAAATTTGTATTTTGTAAGTACGAATGACTTGGAAATCTTTATAAGTTTAAAATTTAAAATGTATAAGGGTATAAATGGAATGGGGGAATTTGTGGAAGAAGTAGAAATACAGGGGTGGGAAGGGGGATGGGTCAGGCAAAGCGTCACAGTCGGTTGGTGATGTGGGGAAAAGGACTTTCTTACCCTTGATAAAAAGAATCCAAAGAACTCCCTCACCCCTTACCAGACAAACACAAAAAGAACTGCCCTTTTGGGAAGAAAACACAATAAAATAAATAAATAGATAGATAGATAAATAAAAAAAGCACAAAAAAGAACAACAATAGTGGGTAACCAACGGCTACCTCACCCGCCTCCACTCAAAATCATCTACAAACTTTTTTTTGATTTAATGGGCTTCATTTGTGGGCTTCAGCCCATCTCATCCCCTTATTATTCATGGGCTTCAACTTTATGCATTTTCAATCCAACCCCCAAGCCCATCTATTCATGGCCCAAATTGGAAGGCCTATTTTGGAACAAACCACTAAAAGTGCCCACACGTGAGATCAACGTGCCACACCAATCCACCATATTTTCCAATTTTGCCCCTGCATATTCATTCACGCTCCCCTTCACCCTTTTATATGGATGGGTGTTTTTAATATAATGAATTTTCAAAAAACATTTGATAAAATTCATAAAACTTTGTTTTTTTCAAAACATCTGGAAGATATTGTCTGCTTTGGTCTGTTACATATCGCTGTCAGACTCGCGATTTTAAGACGCATCTATTAGGGATGTTTCCACATCCTTACCAGAAATGTTTTGTTCCCCTCTCCGACTGACGTGAGATCTTACAGTCCACCTCTTTTAAGAGTCAGCGTCTTCGCCAACTAACTGGTCGGTATCTGGCTTTGATACCATTTATAACATATGCGTTTTAAAACTGTAAAACTGACAACAAAACGTAACGAGCTAAAGCGACAAGTATCTCAAAACAATCTTCAACTGATTGTGATAATAAAATAAAATAAAATAAAAACATTATTTCAAGAAAAAAAATATTTAAATTATTTTTCTTTATTAAAGGACATTTGAATTTTGTATGTAAACAAATGCAAATGAGACTTCAAAAAGCTTTATAGAGACATCTCTTTGTGTGCACCTCATTGCCTTCCGTTCTGCCAAAATCACAGTTCCCATAATGCCGCGATTATATATCAATGTCCACTCAGCGTATTGAAATGAGTCCAAGCCTCCTACATGAATCCATAGAACAACATTGAGCTATTAAACACACATGAAAGACACTCCCAATCAATAGCTCAAATCGTTAACGCATTGTATTCTCTATCTAACGGTTAAAAGTTCGAAACTCCACCCGAACATATTGTAGAACTCAAAAAGAAAAATCAGAAATCCCGACTCTTTAAAACGCTCAAATTATCAGGTTCAAGGTATGTGTAGGAGCATTTGCAAGTAGAACTGTTTGATCATATCATAGAATTCATGTTTGGTTGTAACTTTTGAAATACCTGTAGTATTTCAAAAACTTTTGCTGCAATATACTTTTGATCTGATGAAGCACCCTTCTGTTGTAGCTTATCAGGGTGAAGGTACAGCAAAGCCTTCTGATAAGATCTCTTAACTGCATGTCCATCGATTATATCAACCAGAGGAACAGCCTTCCATCCGCTCTTAGGCCAAAGAACCTTGCACACAACAAAGAACAGTTTATAGAAATTGAAGAAACCTAGAGCGTCGACCTCAAGAACGAACAACAAACAGAGTTAATAAGATAACAGTCTCACATATTGCAAAGTTGACAGCAGCGAACGTATGTTCCCTTCCTTCCCGTTCGACCAATGCCGTATTTTAGTATCGATAGCCTGCATCGTGACAGAGTTCTTATCAGCTTACTTCCCCACCTGCTGCAATAAACATAATACATTTACTTAACGTGAGATGCATTACTTGTAATCCTTCGCGACCATTGTCTGTTACTCTGGAATCATCATAGTCTTGTTGTAATTCTTTTACCTGTCATAAACCAACCAAATCAGCTCGTTAGATTGTTGGCCATTCATTGGTACAAAGCATTTGACAACGTTTCATGTTTCGTATTCAAATATACTTGATGCATAAGTTTATGTATAATTGATGCAATTTGCTAGCAAATATTGTTCACTTTTAACTCGTTACGTATCGTCTCCAGCCTTACAGTTTTAAAACGCGTCTACTAGAGAGAGGTTTCCACACCCTTATAAGGAATGCTACATTCCCCTCTCCAACCAATGTGGAATCTCACAATACTAGATAAAATTGATTTAAAGAGTAAACTGAAAATTCATTTTTGCAAGGATGAACATACCGAGAAATGCTCTTGGAAGGGCTCCTCCACGTCCGGAGTTGTAGACTTTGCGACACCGGGAACATGAACTGACATCAAGGAGTAATGTATTATGCAATGGATCATCGAATCTTTGATAGAAACTATGAAGTACACAGCAGAGATGCATGACTAACCAGTGTTTGGTGCTGGACTTCTGTAGCTAGCAGCTTTTTTAGCAGAGTGATCATCCACTGATTGCTTGGAAACATCATCTCCCTACAAAGATTGAAAATTGAGGTCCATCAAAAATATTTTTGACTTGCAAACTCTTATCCTCAATGGTGCAAAAGAGAGTACCTTGATGGAAGCATCTGTATTCTTATTCAGCTTGGGTTTCTCATCCTTCCTTATTTTATTGACAGTTGCTTCTGTTTGAGCTTTTGAAGCACTTTCCTGTTTCCTTGTAGAGCTATCATTTGCTAAATCGACTACGTCTCGGGGTTTCGACGCAGGTTTTTGGTTGAAAATCTTAACGAACTCCGAAATTTTCCCCCCAGCTTTCTTTCTGCCAATGTTATGCCCAGATTCCATGTCTGAACTTAGGAAACTAGGTGTCTTCGTTTTTGAATTTCTCGGTGAAGTTTGTCTGCTCAAGTTTTCTGAAGGAGCGGCTGAAATTGTTTCCTCAAAACTTCCACCAGCCTTTCTTTGATCAACACCAGCTATGTCAGGCAGTAAACCCGTTCCCTTTTCGTCATCGACGTTTGCAGTTTCGTGAAAGACGAGAGGATAATCGATGTGCTGTATAGTTGATGTTGGGGAATGCATCTCATTTTTAGTCTTCACTACCCTATCGGTCGAGGTCGAGCTTCTTCGGATCATAGTCTTTGCTCTTGATCTCGATCCGTTCCCTCCTCTCAGTGGCATCATCAGAGGCACCCCTTTGCTTGCCCATTTGTAAATGGAGAAATGGAACTGAAATTGACCACTACCATTAGAATCCTCTAAACTATCTACTCCTTTCGTTGAACTGTTTCCACTCATAGCATTATTATCAGACATTCTAAAGGATGATGCTTCCTCACTGCCACGTTCTTGGAATTCAGAAGACAAAAGACCAGAACGATGGCTTGATGTGCTTGAAGAAAATCTGGAAAGAGTGAACCTAGGAGAATTTGTATGGCTTACATTCAAACCACCGTCATTGTTTCTTAATGGGTTCGATCCAAACGCTGGTAAATCAGTCCCTTTGGCCAATCTTGAGGGTAGGCTGCCACAAACCAAAGAGCCATACATTAACGCTTAGAAAATTAGCCATCAATATAATCCTGGAATGAAACCCATTTATGAAATCAAGAAACGGAAGAAGAAGAACCTTAATTGTGCAGGGAGGGAAGAACTGCCGAAGGGCTCTACCGGCGGCGGAAGAGGTCTAGCAGGACTTAGAATCCCCGAACCAGGAATCGAAGAGAAAAGGTCACGCTCATGACGGCGAGGAGAAGAACTCACCGATTCATCGGCTTGGAAGATATCGTCGTAAAAATCATTGCTCGGAAATCGCCGCCCGTGGACACCTTCTTCCCCGAACACCGGTTTCTCATTCAAACCAGACCAGCGACTACTCCGGCCCGACGGTGCTTCATTATCGCGGCGTTTCAATGCGAAGGAATCCACCGTCTCGGAGAAGCTGTACCGCGTTTCATGAACGGACGACCGCCTCCTCGGAGGGCCACCGAACACGTCGTGAAAATCAACATCGTCCGATTCCATTTTCTTCCCTTTAACCGAGCCCCATCTAACAGATTCCTAGATTCAACAGCTTCAATTTGAAATAACAAATGGCGGGAACGGCGAACCCGCGAGTTTATTTTCCACGGGTTAACTCAGTTTCTCTCGAAACAGTGGCAGAGGAAGTTGAAGGGAAATAAACAACGATTTAGCGGAGGAGCTTATTGAAAACGAAAAGACAGAAGCAGACGGGAAGTGGGGCTGCTGAAAGAGCCATCTGGGATTCAGAACCACACAAGCTGTTGGAGACGATTTGATTTTGTGGATAAGAGAAAAACTCAAAAACCAAACGAAGAAAGGTCATTAGGCTGCGCACAGAATCTGCATCAGCCAAACAATATTCTCTTGGTGACCATTAACCAGAAATTCTTGTGATGTTCATTAATCCGAAAGTCCCCACAGACACAGCCAAAAGTTAGGAAAGACAAGCAGCTGTCATCACAGTTGAGATTGTCATCACATTACATGAGCAGCAGCCTTTTAAAAACACATGAAATAACAAGAATGTCGACCCATATGTAATGACATTTTCCTTTTGCAGAAGAAAAGTCTCTCAATTTGAGCTTTATCGTTACAGATGACAAATGTTCTTCCATAAATACATCGACAAAAAACTCGGAAAAGGAAATAACAGAGAACGTTTTGTAGTCATGGGATGATGATCAGATGACTCCTCCTTGTAGCAGCTGCTGCATTGTATCAAGCAATGGTGGTAAAGCTTGTTGGAAGAGCGTTTGATCATTCAGAACCATCTGGAAAATGATCCAGAGCATTTTGCATACCATCAACGTAGAATTCGACGACTGCTTTCATTCTAGCATACTTGTCAGGATGATAATTTATATGAACAATAACGGGTTTCAGCTGTCTCAGATTCAGGTTCTTTCGAACAGTCTTGAAAAGTACCTTGCTGTTCATAAAGAGATACATGTCCATGGTTCTCTTGGAGGCATGAAGACCATCACGTCCGGGACGAGAAGGATAAAAGAGTTCCTCGTTGAAAACGGCTTGGTCCCATGCCTTTTCTTGAGAAAGCCGAGCAGCAACACGGTCCAAAAGCTCCAATGAAGGAAGTGTAGGCCTAATGAAGAAGAAACCAGAGTTGTAAACCCATATTCTCATAGTGTGCGCATATCTAGCCCAACCCATGGCAGGTTCATCAAATACATCGTTATATCCATAAGCTGTTATATTGTTGTGACCATCACTCATCGACTCCACATCCGAATCGCGGTAAAGATGATCGAAAGGGTTCTGCAAGTAGACGATATCAACGTCTGAGAGTAGAACACTGTATCCCAGTTGCAAGAACTCCCTAAGAATGTGAAACTTCAATGCAGAGACTTGATGGTTGCCTCCTTGCTTTCCCACCGAGTCGATGCTCGTGTCTGGATCTCTCTTGTAGACAGGAACATCATGGGATATGCAGAACTCTTCGGTTTGGTCGTCCAGAGCCACGACCAAATAATTGTGTATACCGACATTTTGGATGCTGGTAAACCAAATCTCCAACATAGATTTAACATTAGAATTTGCAAGCGTCACAATCAGCTCCTTCTGAATAGCAACTTTCTCCAGGAGCTTTGCCAATCGAGGATTCACGGATTCATCAGGGATTACAGTGGGATTTGTTCTAAGACCTTTGACACTATCAAATGGACCAGCCTTGTGATTTTCGCCAAGCGCCAAATATTGCTTCTGAGCATGATCTTTTAATTGTTCCACAATCTTCAGCTCCCTCGTAAGATCCTTGATACGCTTCTCCAACACGGAGTTCTTCCCTAATATTGAAACCACGTCGGCTTTAAGGTTCTTGAACCGGTCTGAAGATTCGCACGGGGAAGAAGACTGAACCTGTAAAAGAAGAAAAAGTCAGGAAGTACAATAAGTTTCCTTCATGATCCCCTAAAAGACTACAGATTCCATCAAATATTCAGTGCAGTCAATCTTTCAACTGCTAAGCCAGTTTAAGATAATAAACCAAATGGTGCCTCCAACAAACTTCCAAAGCCACTTCAAATTGGGTCAGGACTCCACCCATACCAAGGCTCAATCAACTCGAAATTGAAACAAAACTGAGTTTAGATTTATTTTTACCTTTTAATGTCACCATATTGAAACGTTTACAAGACTAAGAACGAAATATTCTTCGTCTCACATTTTGAACTCTCGTATATTTTGAAACATTTATGAAAAGTTAAAAAGCTTTTAAAAAGTATATGGATGTTTTCTAAACAAATGACAGACTTCAAGGGTGTTTTTTATAATTCATAATATCTTCCAAAAAGTAAAGACTCTAGAGAAATACACAAACCCAGCCATGACAACACACACAACTAAAAAGTAAACACCGCCACCAGACGAACTGATCCAGCCACAAGAATGCGCATACTACCCAGAAATCTTAATTTCACTAAACTAGATTAGAAGTTTGAAGGTTAAAATTAAATCACTCGCCCCAATGTAAAAAAAATGAATTATAATTCTTCTCTTATTGATATGAAGTTTCGGATTCACGTCGCAATCAGAAACAATAAATGAGGATTTAAATCGGTATAAAATTCAGAATCGCACAGAAACCGGAACTAGGGCAACAAGCATCGAACCTGTAACTCCGATTTCCCGAGTCGGCGGTTTTGGAGAGGCAGATCAGAGCGGAGAAGTCCATGGGGATAGAAGAAAGCAAAAAGACACCCAAGAAGAACTCCGATTGCGATGGCGATGACGACTCGAGACACGCGAGCTGAATGTGATTTGTCTTTACGACCGGCCATAGAGAAATCAGGCGTAGTAGGGCGTGAGTGAAGCAGCAGAGTAGAGAGTTGAATGGATTTCTGTGGATTTTTATTGAAATGGAAGGGAGAGTTACGAATCCATATATATAGAAACGGGGTTGTTTCCGTTTACAGTGTGGCAGCGGAGATTTTGGTCATTGGAATTGGTATGAGGAAGAGAGAGGAGGCGCAGGAAGGGAGAGGAAATGGGAAAGAGATGGGCGTAGAGGAGGGAAAGAAGAAGATCCAATGTTGATGTTCATCATTTTGCAGTTGCTTTCCTTTCGTCGTTGGTTTAGTTGCTGTGCCTAACTTCGCCCTCCACGGCTCCACCTAATTTTGAATACTAAAAACTCAATATTCCTCCCAAGCTAATTTACTCTAAATGGGTAATTTATCATCTAAACGACTAATTTATGTTCAAATTGTTCGAATTGAATTGAATTCGTCAACTTACCCAACTGCACTCCAAAGATTAAATGTCCTATTAACATTATTAATTTAATCTCCAACACCCTAACATTGCCACCAATACCAAAAATTCATGACAAGAAAACTCGCTCGCTTTTATTACAAAACGATCTATCCTGTTAGAGAGGTACGTTATAGAAGATTGTTAATGGTATTGTTCAATTACGCATCAGATGAGCACAGAAGGTTTCAGATGGAAGACGAAAACAGAGAAACAACCGCCCAAACTTGGGGAGGCTCACGCCTCTGATTTTTCACTTACAAACGAGGTCATCCGCTCTTCAACATGTAAAGAGTTGAGATAGTTCAATTAAATATGCTTGCTTAGATGCAATAAGCATTGTTAATGGTTATGCTACAAATATTATATACAGAAGCGTGCAGATGCAAGTGTTGGAGAAGACATTCAGGGCACTCACTTATCATTAGAGCGTGTAACATATGACACGACGACTGTGATGTCGTCAAGCTTGCCTCCATAATAGCGAAATCCAGCATCTTGAGCAGCAGTGGAGAAAGGCGTTTGTCTATCTTTATCTAGAGCTCGTTGGCGTGCAAGAGCAGCTATCTTCTGGGCAGTCACCTGAGTGCCTAAGCCTGCTTTCATGGCATGAACCACCACTGCAGTGATCTCGTTGTTGTACAAGTTATCAAAGAGTCCATCGGTGCCAGCAATTATGACATCTCCAGGAGCAACAGGGACTGTGAAAACCTGAATCAGTTTCAATACTCACATCATCATCAAGTTAAAGTTGTTGCTGAAGAGTAAAATAACTACTACTCTCGTTTTTAAGGTTTGCAAACTCTGCTCACTCTATTTCTAAAAATGTAAACAAAACCGTTCAATGTCTTAACATTGAAGTATGAACTAAGGGGGAAAACAAAAACAAAGGATTCCAAGCATGCAAATGATTAAAGAAGAAACATAGTATTACTTGGAAGAAAAAGATGTACAAAAGCAGAGTGGGGTAAGACAAAATATGCTTCTTTCCCCAACTCGTACCAAGACATGAGGGATATTACTTCCCAGGTTACAAGTACATAGTTAAAACAAATAACAAAAAACTAATTGAGATTTAAGCAGTTAGGGGAACAAGGCCACGTGAGGAAGATATCATTCCCACCTATATCAATTTCTGCTCAAAATAACAACCATATGCCAAGCAGTGTCAAGACTTGCATCATAAACGGTGGGGCTTTTCTAATTCATAATATTATTTTGATAGTATAGTCTTCAAACTATATCAGTTTATGTTAAAGTAAACCATACGTGAGGAAGTCACAAAGCTGTATAATCTGTGAGGTTATTCACATATTTATGTAGGGTTTCTGCCATGCACTACCTTCCATATTATTATCTCAAATGGTAGATTGATACAAGGGAAGAGAACAATTAATCTGACATTAATGCATCAGTACATATGTCAACTAATTCACGAAAAACATGACCAATTTCCTAAATCAGAAGAAGAAAGATAACTACAGATGGCAAGGAAGCTGATGAGCATACTAACCTGACCAGAGCTAGGCAAATCTCCATTGTTTCCACTCTCCAATTGAAAGGTGAAATTAAAATCATGCTGCTGCACGGGAGATCTAAAGACAGTGCATCCGTCTCTAACCACCATAAATCCACTGTCTCCTAAGTTGATTGCATGGAGACCCTGCAGTGAGGCCTTACATTATTACCTATGGTGCAGTAATAAAATAAAAGAACTGCCGGGCATCCTTGCAAGACAAAATATATGAGCAAGTAATTGTACAGATAGCTAAAATTATTGACAGATACTATTATATTATATATGAGAAGTATTAAGCTCTACCTCACTACTCTAGGGGAAAATTTTACAGGTCTAGAAGACATCAATGACTTTTACTCTTGTTATGGATTCCACCCAAAAGTTCAGACTAGGACGACTTAGGCTTTAATTCCAAACAAATAGAAACTTCCCAAAATTATTTTGGTAAAGTAATTGCACCAAATCAAGAATCTAGAGATTCAAAACAGGGAATTTGGTCTCAATAAGAATCAACGTACTTGTTCTGTAAGCGCTATGATACAAGCAGTGGAGGAACCTTTGGCTTTTGTTTTTGAGTGAGCCTTCTCCAAGACTCTAGCTGGATCTATTGAGCCCTTGGGTTCTTCCTGAACTGCACTAACAGAATTAGACATAAGTTCTCGGGAATACTGTCCAGCATCAACACCAAGATCTGCCCAGCCACCCACACCGTCAGCCACCCCTATGGCCTGTTCATCTACACAGATAAAGTGAGCATCCTCTCCTCCAGTATCTTCTTTATCAGGATGGGGTAGATAGCATGATCCAGAAACCAGTTTCAATGATTTGCCCATCGAGATATTCCTGTGGATAACATAGTAGGAAATTTAGAAATAAAGAACACTAGGCATCCAAACTGCACATCGTCACTATGAAAAAGGGAAGGGGACCTCAGCATACTATGTCGGCAATACTGACCAAGTACGAGAATTCCATAATGAAATCCGAAAACAATAAAATACATTTATATAATTCATAAAACCAAGGGATTCATTTTAACCAGAATAACCAAAAATGTCGATTAAGCAGAACAAGTCACCGTTATTCACAATTTATCCTCACTCAATAGTTGGACCAGTAAGAATGGAATGACCAAATAACTAAATGAATATGACGCATCTCCAAACTATTCAAGTCCATGGGGGGATCATTGCAGTCCCTGAGCGCAAGAGCAAGTTCATTTGATGACAGCATTCATATAAAGTCAATAGCGCAAGTTAAAACCAAAGTCGTGATGCAATCTAAACTAAGCACGTAAATTATAATATTTTCATTTTAAATTAAGGGATCAAGTAGAACATACTGTTCAGATGAATCAGTAGAGTTGGCAGGTTGTTCCTCCAGCGCAGAATTATCAAATGACACATTGGGGGCAGAACCAGCTGAAAACTGAGAAGTTGATGAAGTATGAAGATCACCGACTCCCGACATAGTATGTAGGTAACTACTGCAAAACCTCTTTGCAACGTCATAAGTGAAGTATCCATATATCACATTGTTGCTAGGCTGCTCTTTATTTTTCAAACTCATGCTGGCTTTCCGACATCTATTAACACTTCTATTGTTAAAACAAATACTAGCACTGATCGCTGAAGAAGACGAGTGTGCATTTCTAAAACTTGAATTACCAAAAGAACATTCACCAAGTGTAGCTCTAGAACCACAAGCAGCCATTGGTTTGTCTTCACACTTGCTGTGAGATGAAAATTGATTGGATTCAGCAACGGCACAATCAATGTGATACCTACAAGTCTGAAATGCAGGGCCTGAAACAGAAGGAACAGAAAATGTGCGAGAAATTGCTCCAAGAGCTGAGATATTCTTCCTGCGATTGACTAGCTCTGAACTAGCACCCGAAATAGTGCCAGGTCTTAAGAGAGCATGCAACTCTGTAAGTGAGGGATAAGGAACCGAGTGAAATAGACTAGAATTGCCACACAACAGTTTCTGATGCCCAAAAAGCAGCTCCAATGAACCTTTAAATCCGCCTTCCCACCCTAGAATTTGAACCGATGCTCGTAGTTTTGACATATAAGATGGCATATTAGCCCCTTAAACAGACGGGCCTCCCTTTGATTCTTCTCCAGCACAGAATAAAACCACTACAACTTTTTATGAGAAAAAGTACCATTCCTCCCTGCACATCTAATTTCAGAGTACTCGATGCATATTACTTCACGTAATCAGTATGTCGAAATGTTCAAGAAAATTAGCCCTGCCCGGTCAAAAGTTCACCAAATGAGTAAAGAAATGAACAAGTTTATTTCGAACTTTTTTTTTTTTTTTTTCAATTAGAACAACACGTGAGAATGGGCATTCAAACTTCTGGCGTTATACATGCTACGCTCAGATTCTAAAATCACCATCACCCAATCGCGTGAGTATAGAATTTGGTAGCATATGCCAAGTAAAATGAATTTTCCGAATGACCACAACAGTAGAACTATTGAAACATTTAAACACCACTTAAATAACTTTCTCTCTCCTTAAGAGAATATTCATAGACGACCCACGAACTACAAGATGAAACGCACAAGACCAACCCATAAATAGCGTAAATACACTTGTCATTAACAATACAACGAAGATAGACCATAACGCACGTATTCAAAAGTGAAAACCCAATAATAGATACAAATTCAACGGCAATACGGGAAAAAGAAGACAGTAAAATGACAATTACGAAACCTCGCTCTACCAGATCAATCACATACAAACTAAATCGAAACCTATTTCTAGCAACCTGGATCGCTTACACCATCTATAAAGCTTCCGTAGGTCAGAATTAAAGAAACGAACCTTTCAAATTAGTTGCGAGCTCGGCCCGTGTAGAACCTCCCCGTGGAACAGAATTGATAGAAGGGAGTGAGATGAAATCCACAAAATTCTATGGATGCGGACGCCAGGTAAAAACCCTAAGGCGCGAATTGATTCGAAATTGCTATTTATTATTGACCGGTATTGACGCTGTAGTCGAGGGGAAAGCATGTTATTTACGAAAATATCACGGCTCTCATCCATTGGTTTCGATTCTTGGTGAGGGTATTTTGGTAACTTTGACAAGGCAATCCCAAGGTCGTCTTTTGCTAGTTATGAGTGGTCAAGGCGTCTGGTGGCTTGGTAAACGACCATCAGACAGTGACTAATTTTCAGGTAAACGTCTTTTCAGAAAATCAGTTGGGCAAAAAAAAAACAAAAAAACAAAAAAAAACAAAAAAAAAAAATGCCCCTTTTATCTTTAATTTATTCTGTTACCGGACCGACAGAAATATAAAAAATGAGAAATAGAATTAGGATTGAGATTCAATCTTTATTGATATTATACAAGATACTGACAATTATTGATATTATACAAAATAATAACTAATACCCATAAATAACAAAAATATAAACTAACTCAATATTGAGAATAAAATAAAATATATTATTTAACTAATATCTTCTTCTAATATTAAATAATTATGAATACTATATATTCTATAACTAATTCAAACTAGAAATGAGTTAACTCAATTCCTATTTAAAAAATTATAATTTTGATTAATTAAAAAAAACGTTCTCACTCCCCCCTCATTTCTAGTCTAAATAAGGAATCATCTCCCTGTTCAAGTCGGGTCCCCACAGACTTGAACTCGCAGATAAAGTGAATGTCTCGAAGTGAAATGAGATTATACATTAACTTGAACTTATTACTACCAACATTGAGACTTGGAGAGATATTGTTCTCCTTGACATTTTACAAAACAGTTCACAAAGCTCCACCGTTTACTTCATATTTAGACTAACTGCAAGTTTCAGTTACATAAGCTCCTAAGAAGGAGGTGAGCACCAAACTGAGGCTGTAAGGTTACAAAAAGCAAAGGGGCATGAGTGTAGGTTGGAGAAACAGCAACAGAGAATCGTTGAATTATCATGGCCAGGGCGACTTTGGCCTCAATCAACGCCATGTTTTGGCCTACACAAATCCTGGGACCCAACGAAAATGGCAGAAAGGAAGCCAAGTGTTTCCGAGGCTCACCAAATCTCAAAGGGTTGAAGCTGTTTGCATCCTCTCCCCAAATCTCTTTCTCATGGTGGACAGCAGCCAACGCCAAGAACAGCTCTGTGCCACCAGGAATGTCTAAGCTTCCTAGTGTCACCTGTTTCACTGCCTGCCTCGTCAACATCACTGCTGGAGGATAAAGTCGAAGTGCTTCGTTAATTATCATGCCTACCTGCCATAAGAGATGCACGATATCGAATGAGTACGAACATAGAAAATGGATGCCATTTCAGTTCAAACCCACATCCATAAAACATTAACACAACCAATCAAATATATGTTTCCATCATATTTTAGTCCCTGTGAATTCGTAATGGTCAACTTCACTTGCATACTTCCAAAACAGAATTCTACGAGTTAGCAACACCACCATGTACAGTGTAACATCCCAAACCCACCGCTACCAAATATTGTCTATTTTAGCTTATTATATATCACCATCAGTTTCAGTGCTTTAAAATCAGTATGTTAAGGAGAGGTTTCCACACTCAAGAAATGTTTCGTTCCCCTCTCCAACAGATGTGGAATCTCACAATCCACCCCCTCGGGAATCAACGTCTTCGCTGACACAACGGACGGTTACATACCGTTTGCAAATCTGCATTTAAGTATTTCAAATTCCCTCTTGCTAGATGATAATTTATCGGACAGAACAACAGTGACTATGCACAAAACTTGCCAATAAAGGATATCTGTAACTACTGCAAGGTGACATTTATCCAAAAGAATATAGATATCATTACGTGTACATTGACTTACAAGCTTAAGTTCGCTCAAATTCTCCGGCGCAGGAGGTGTTTTATGGGCGCAGACGCTGAGAACTTCTTGTCTGGCCTTATCTTGCCACTCTGGATGCTTTGCTAGTAGCAGAAGAGCCCAAGTTAAAAGATGAGAAGTTGTTTCCATTCCCGCGAAATAGAATGTCTTACATTCATCAATGATTTCCTCCACTCCAAGTCTTTCTTCTTCCCCCTTCTGGTTCTTGTAAGATGACATTAACAAGCTCAGTAGATTAGTTGAGTTTTCCCTTCCTTTGCTGTTTGCCTCAATCAGCTCTTTTATCGATTCACGAGTTTCTTTCTCCAGGCTCCATCTTTCTCTGTTCTTCTTCGTCGGCAAAAATCTACATTTCAAGTTTTCAATTCAAACTCCAGGAATAAATAAACTAACACTAGTAGATTTGTAACAATCGAAGGCCATAGCTAGTAGACATTATCCGCTATGATTCGTTACTTATCGTCCGTCAGCCTCAAGATTCCCTTATAAAAGTGTGAAAATCTTCCCTCTTTTAACCCTTTCGACTATGCTTGAATTTGAAAGAAAATAAGAGAAAAGAAAGCCACTCCCATCTATGAAAATGTACACAGAAAATCAGGGAAAGGAAAACTAAGAATTGAAAATAGACCTGAAGCCAGGAATATAAACACTTCTGACTGCTTGGGAGAAGAGATGTGTTTGCTGTTCCTGCAAACTGAAGATGCGCTTGCCTTCTTCAAAGTTACTTCCAAATGCGGTTCTTGAAATTACGTCGGCTGAGAGGCGACGAAATTCTTTGTGAACGTCCAATTCAATCTCCTCCATTCCGCCCTTCATCTCTTCCCATTTCTCCAAAACATTCGACACACTAGCAACTATTTCGGGTACCCACCCCTGTGCAATTTAAAACTACACTATCAACAGACACCAGCCAACATAGAAATTATGTAAAGAAAGTTTTATACCTTTATACGCTCCATGTTGAAAGCCTGATTCGCAATTCTCCGACGCGCGACCCATTTTTCCCCGTCCAGTCCTAGCAGTCCCTCTCCAAAAAGCAACTTCGCCTGCGGGTTGAACTGGATCCTTCGAAAAGACCCGTGCGTATTTACCAGCACTTCCTTAATTAGATCCGGGTCGGAAATGGCCAGTCTCGGTTTCGACCCGAACCAGTACAGAAACGTCTTTCCGTACTCACCGGACCACCGGAAGTAAAAAGGGAGAGCGCGACTGAGTATATCGTGGTGAAACGGAATCGGCTTAGATTGTGCCTCCGCGAACAGACGTCGGATATCGGTGGAGTTGCCGATGATCGGACGGTAGGGAGGGCCCTTTATGCCCTGCTTTCGGAAGTGGTTTTGAATCCTCCATGGAAGCCAGAAAGTGGAGTAGAGAAATTTCAGGAGGATTGTAAGAAGAAGAGCAACAACAACAAGGGAAACAGCAAAGAGAATCATTTGGAAACTGAAAAGCCGCTGCTAGCCAAGTATGGGAGAGGAAGGTCTGTGGTCGTTCTTCTTTGCTCCATCCATTGTCGCACCGCTGAAGTCAATGGCAGATGAGAAATTACTTGAAGCCGTGACCTCAGCCCAGCATTGCTCCACAATTTGGAGCATCTCTTTATCATTGGTTCAGACTAATTTTTTGCACAACTTTTTACACTAAGCCAAAGAGTTCTTGGCTTCTACACGTTGACCTCAAATAATAATTATAATTAACATCTCAGGGGCATGAGCGTTTACATAATAAATATATATTTATTGTTTTTTTAATGTCAGGTTACATTGTTTTATTCCTCACTACATTACTAAATTGTCTTGTTTTATAAACAAGCTTGGTATTAGTAGCTATCAATTTAAATTTAAATTATAAATTTAGTGGCTTGCAAATTAAATATAACTTAAAAATATCTACAGACAGCGGCAGTTCGACGGGCGGAACGGCAACCACCGTGGAGTTGAACGGAGCTATGAGGCGAAGTCGGTGGAGGACCACACGAGCAGCAGCTCCAGCCAGCAATCAATATTTTCCATCTTGTTCATCTCGATCCCAAGCGTCGGCGGTGGAGCTTTCGTCGTAGGCACACCCACCGTTCATGGAAGCGATCAGAGCTGAAAATCTACTAGTAGAGGCTCCACCGCCGTCTATGCCAAGCCCAAGAAGATCCCTCGTCATGGGCTGACTTCCAAACGAGCAAAATGGACCACCCGCCATCATCAAACCAGAACCAGCCGGTCCAGAGGGAAGTTCAAGCCATAACCCAGCCGTTAACGAAGCGCCATTGCGATGATCCCGGTTCACATTAGCAGTGGCAGACCTATCATGAACTGAAGAAGTAGTAGTAGCCATCCCAATGCCACGGAACAACGATGGATTAGACGCGGTTGCCCCCATTTCCGCTGCCTTCTGTAGCAAAGCGGTGGCGGACATGGCCGCCGGTTGAGTTGAACACGTGTACTGCAGACGGTCTTGGTCAGGTCGGGGAAAGAGGGAGGATGATCCTTTGGGGGAAAGATAGAGAGGTGTGGAGAGAGAGAGCGAGGTGGGATTCACGGTGGAAACAGGAGGGCGAGTAGAGGGGCAATCGTAAGACACAATTGTAGAGGCTAAACTGGAGACTGCAACGGTCGTGGATGAAGCAGAGGGAGCAAAAACAGTACTATTTCCAAACAAATCATTTGAGCTACTATTGACAGCCGCGGCTGAAGGCGTTGATATGGATGAAACTCTGATCTGAGTATCAGCTAGCTCTGTAAACCAAAGCAACAAATCTGTCAAATCTTTGTAAGAATATTCAGTGGAGGTGAGAACAGAAAAAAGAAAAAACAGAACAAATGAATCAAAAACAGAATTCAGCGGTTGCTTTCAGTGAATGATGAACAGCTTGAACTGAAAAGGAAAAGCAGTTTTGGAAGTAAAGGGGAAGAGAATAATGGCGACTTTTTTTTCCGATAAGCCATCATTCTCCCTTTCCACTATCCTCGATCTTTGAGCTTCACTGTCATCCATGCAAGAATTGCCCGTGAACGAGCAGTACTACCGAATCCTTGGGGGAAAAACAAACAAACAAAAAAAAGAGAAAGGACTTGCAAACAACAATGGATCGAGAAAAGAAAATCAATCAAAACTTTACATCGGATATTAAGGATTTGGAGCATTTCGCCATTATTGATGATTAAGTGTACTACCTGAGCTGTGAATTGACAACGCCGGAGATACCACAGTGGTTGTCGGAGTGAGCGGTGGCGGGGGAGGCGAAACCGTGTCCGATTCCTTCGCTTTAGAGTATGGAACTGCTAGGGTTTGAGCACGAGAACTTTCCTCCGCTAATACATCGCAAAAGGCTCGATGCGTAATAAAACTATCCCTCCTTCAAGAAATCGAAACAGAAATTCAGTGAAAATGATAAACAGAGAAGCGATGATTTCTACGCATCCATTAAACAGAGAAAAGAAAAACGAAAACCGAACCTAGAAAATAAAGTGCCACAATCGCATTTGTACTCTCGAGTTCCGCAAGTTTTCATATGCGCTTTCCAATCGGATTTTACCGCGTATTTCTTCGAGCATCTCTCGCACTTCCATTTCTTCTCGCCGTGTTTTCTGCAGAAGTGCTTCTTTATTCCGGTAAGATCGCCGAGTGCTCTCGCCGAATTGTGGTGGACGCAGGTAGGTTCCGGACAGACATAGACGCGCTTACGCACCTCATTGTCAGTCCGTTGCCGAAGCTTCCAGGGAAGGTTGTGGCCTCGCCGGTGAAGCTGCAGGTTCTGGTCCCGCTGGAAGCCTTTGTTGCATATCTCGCACACAAACCGGTTCGTCGCCAGCAAACTCTCCGCCGACAAAGCAATCACCTCCGCCGTCGGGTCTGAAAAACAGAAACAATCGAATCTGGGAGCCAAGATTGATTGAAATCACAGAATATCGAACAATCAAAACATCGCGGCTGGATTGGCGCTTTTAATTCCCTTACCTGGCATTCCGGGAAGGTTCCGTTTCTTCTTCGGCAGGGCTACCGCCGTCACTGGTTCGATATAACGTGAAGAAGATAAAGAAGCATCGCCGGAAACCGCAACCGGCGAACAATTTTCCATATCAAACATTCGGCAAATAAGCTCAACGAGAAGATAGTTGTGGGATTTAAGCTTTACTGAAAGCTCAGCACACAATAACTCATTATAAGAACACTGCGCTCCATCCAATGATTAGCAACTCGGATTCTAAGCCTTCTGAACTTGTGATTGTATGTTGGGAAAACTGAACCTAAATTTAAGGACATGATTGTCTTTTCACATTTCTGGTTTTAAAAATTTGAAAAAAAAATAAAAACAGCCGAAATTTTGAAGAAAAAGAAATGGTTGAGGAGAGGGAGTGAGGAGAAGTGGAAAATCAGATTAAAAAGAAATAATCTAAGCGGCGCCAGTTAACCGTGGTTGGGGAAGGAAGGACTTGTGTGTGTGATTACCATGGTTAAGGGGATGGAAATCTATCCATCCACGTGTCGTAATCTACTAGGTGATAACATTCGTCGGGGAAACTCGGACCAATTTTTCGATTGAATTAAAAGTACGGTAGTTGAAGAGTGGTGGCAATAGTGTAAATAACATGAAGCTGGAGGGCATTTTGGGAGACGTACGGATACAGTACGAGTGACAGAAAATGTAAATGGGGAGCTTGGGCTTACTACAAGGCATTATCCTACACGTGCTTCTTACAAAGCGTTGGGACCACGGTGTTACAGTGGGGACGATCGCAGGGGAACGTTGAGATCATCACTCCAAAGCAAATCACAGGGGCGGTTCCATTTTGAAGGTCGTGCTTTCGGTTGTAGGGTATATGGTTCGTTAAAAGGGTAATGTTTTGTCCTTTTGTGTCGGAGGACTCCGATATCTACGGACGGGGTACCGTAGACATTTCAAAATTTTATTTTTAGTCTTTACCAGTTATGCCCTTGTCACAATAGAGCTCCTTTCCAACGTTTACTGACCATTGTGAGACACTCACTTTTAGTATCGAGTGACTCAGCCGACCTGAAATCACATTGTCAATGGCCGACGTATGTTCAAGCCTATGACCCAATAACGAAGTAGATAAATTTTTGAAATAGTGTTTGAAAACAATGCTATAGGCTATAAGCGAGAAAGACAACCTAATGTTTTAAATAACATATAACTCCGAATACGAATAATTAACAAATAGTCACATTCCCTATAATTTGAGACATTTCAGATCTACCATAAGCAAGCATGACTCTACTGAACATTATACATTTAGGAAAGACAAAAAGATATCTATACATCATGAAAATGATAAAGGAAAGTAGTCAAATGTTTTAATACAGGTGATTTGACATACAACGAACATCCAACCGTAACCAACACGCCTTGGACAAATATGTCCGTGACACCTTCTAAACACGCCTTGGACAAATATGTCTGTGACATCTTCTATTTTCCAACTACTAAACTCTACCGTGGTAGTAGCCGCCCGCTATCGGCGAACCTACTATTTTTTATTATTATTTTAATGTATGTTGTAAATTGGAAAAATTACATTCTGAGTTCCTACTTATCCAATGTAATCGATAAAAAGTTTGTTTTATATTCTCAAGATAGGGAAATTATTAGATGATCAAATTTAATATTAATTGTGTATGCAGTGGAAGAATCTAACAAAGTATCCAATGTGGAATTTATCATTTCCATGTGTGAAAATCAATTGTTTTACATTCGACAAAATTTAACTTGTCGGTTATTTTATTATGATATGGCGGCCATTTATTGAAAAATAATAACGTTATAATAACAATTTATTCAGGAAAGTGTACCACATGGTACACTGACACTAAAGTTTAGAATTTTTAACTAAAAAATCAACATATGGACCAAAATTTAACCCTTTTTTACTTAGATAAGGACATTTCCCAATATAATAAGTCCATTTAATTATTCTGAAGGGAATTTCCATGTCTTATCTAAACTCAAAGACCCTTTCTTGAATTTATTCAATTACATGTTATCTCTAATAGATTTACACCAAAATAGAATATCCAAATTATATAAATAAATAAATAAAATCCATATAGAGACCACAATGCAAAATTTTGGCTTAGATTCATGAAAGAGTTATACTTGTAATATTTTACCTACAGAATTCAACAGTTGGGAGAGGCATTAATTTCGAGGATAAGAGGGACCCAGTTCAACATTTACTAGATAAAAGTAAACAGCTATCAAGGATGAAGATCACAATTTAAAAAGGCAAGAGGGGCAAAAGATGCACAAGTAATCACCATATATTTGATTTGCGAATTGGATATCTTTTGCCTTTTTTTCCTTCTTTTTCTCATGTCATTATGGTGTTAATATAATGCATATTACAGAGTCCAAAGCTGCTGCCTATTCGATGCAAAGGTCAATGCAGTGATTATAATCAACTAGTTTCTAGGGGCGGGGACAAATGATTCATGGAAGAGAAAAAAGTCAATCTACGGAATATTTACTTTTATCACATCTCCATTCCCATAGGCAATATTTCATATAATTGCTATGGCCCATGTAACAGTGAGACTGATAAATTACTAATGTTGATTATAAAGTATTTTTAAGTTTTGTACCGTTGCTCTTTAGTCGAGAAATGTGAAATCTTAGTCATTTCCCATTGGCTAAAAGCCTGTTAATTGGCAACAGGAATTATATGGTACCCATGTGGCGTGTACAATAAATGAGAATCTACCCATTTGTCCAACCAGGTCAGGACCACTATCTACAGGCTTGAACCATAGACAAAACCATCCAACATGGTTATTGAACTCTACTTGGAAGGGGGAGGCAAGGCCTTGTAGTTAGGGTTTTGTTGACGATGATTTCATGTTAACGAAGCCGACTACGGATTTAAAGAGTGAAGAGGAGGTTGAGTGAATATGGTTGCTAAATCTCCTCAGTGATTTCTAACCACACAGTATATATCACCATCACCCTTACCTTGGGACTTAGCCCCAAATGGATCCAATTTTTCTCCCTTTTCTTTTTCAATCTGAAAGCCAGTTATTGAAGCAGGTTAGTCTATGGCTCCTACATGTATAAGTTAGTGGTTTTCATCCTGGTGCTAGGTCCAAACAAATTAGACTCGTGTGTATTCTATTTCTTGGGAACATAACTCGACTTGGGTAACATGTGGTTGTCACTTAATTCAACCTGTTGGTAGCTAACAGGATTCTTAATGTCAACACAATAAGTAATCTAAGTTCGGAGTGAAACAAATTAAGGCACAGAGACTAAATATCGACAAAACTAGAGTATGGAAAACTGGAAAAGTATTATTTAACCTTTTATTTAATAAGGGGAAAAAGGGTCGTATACTGAAACTCAAGCATAGCATCACAAACTCAACCAGTGTGTCTAAGCAAAGGAGAACTACAAGTAGGTCTACGACTACTGGAGCTAGAAAGGTACAATGATAACAGTGAGGGAAAAAGAAACTATAGCTTCATCATGACGCGCGATCGTGCAGGTTACTACTGCCTGAATCTAATATTTTATACGCATGTTCTTTGCACAAAGATGTTCAATATCGACTGGTTGCTTGAGAAAGAAATAACACTGTAGACATGGTACAATAACCGAGAAAGTTACCTCGCTTCAAAAGGGCTTCCGAAAGGGAATATTCAAGTCGGATCCAAATGCGTCAAAGATCTCGCATCTCCGAGTATTTGACTGTCCTCAACTGAGGACTCCCAAACCTGCTCCACTTGACTGGGGAATCTACAATTTTCACCGTATTTTAGCAGGCAGTCGTTTTATGACCGACATAAGTTGTAAACTTCACCCCGCATAACATCAATTGGCATGTGATCATGAGTGTATCGCTCAGGTCCTTGATAGACTCCAGTCTTCTCCAAAAGAGCAACCCCCTCGTCTCTACCATATCTTGATGCATAGAGCTTCAGATATTCAATGTCCTAATTGACATCCAAAACAGATTTCATTAGCAATTCCAAAGTATATAAAAATGAGTAGGCTATCCATATCCAGGAAAATTTTTATTTGCCAAAATAAACGAACTGAGAGAGACTATTCTTGTAATTTTTATCCAAGAAGAAATTTGCAACCCGAATTTCGAGCAATACCATACATTGCTGTAATACAGGATTAATTGTTTGGGCATAACACAAGACACTAAAGGATCTTTACTCATTTTTGTATTATGCATGGTCAGCTGCGTACACAGTTTAATATTTTTATATACTATAATAATCCGTATCCAAAATGTTAGGTTTTAACTCTAGGGTCAAATTTAGCATCCATTAAGAATTAAAATCACCTGCAAACCACTAAGAAGACGCTCAAGTCTTATGGAAGCAACTGGCTCATGTGAAGATGAGAAAACCTCCCCAGGGTAGAAAAGCACTCCATCTCCAGGAGGAAGGCCTCGTCTAAATCTTATCTACTCGAGTATGATAGAGACTTGTTAGGAAAGCATGTGACATACAACGTTCAGCATTAGAGCTTCTGCAGCTATGCAAGTATAGCTTACCTCTGCACTCGGAACTGTTGCCTTTTCATAACAGTTTGCACCCCAATAAAGAAATCCTGTCCCGCCTTCTTTCCATACACGCCACATCACAGCACGATGCTGTGTACCTCGCATCCCGAGGTGCCAATTTGGATGGGGATCAGCTGGCCCCATACACACATATGTCCACCATTCCTGCCAGAAAGATGACTATATCCTCAGCAGAGAACTATGCAAAAGGATTTAAACCTTTAGACCACAAGAGGATAGAAACCATTTAAAAGAACTAAAATAGAATATTCATTGATGATTGAATCACGGATGCTCTAAAGAACGAAAATAAAGATTTCATCCATCGAGAATCTTTAAAACCTTTATTTCTAATCAGTCACCAACTCTAGTTCACACACTGTTATCACCAGGAGTTATGAAACAACTCAAAACAGAAGTCGAAGCAGCAATTTAATGACTAAACATCACTAGCAAAAACCTAGAGATAGAAAGAGCGAGTGAGGAAGTCACAGCCTCAGAAACAAAATACAAAGCCATGAACGCATTTAACTGAAATCCACTACTAAACGTTTGATAAACCATAAACATATAATTTCATAGAAATCAATTCTGGGAAATACATTTTAGGGACCAAAAATTCCAAAAATTATTACCTCACCATTCTCTGGTTGTAATTCACCAATTATATCCTTGACCAGATCCTCTCGATTGCCAAGCACCCATTCACTGTATAACAAAAATAAATTACACATTCTTTTATGCTAAGCAATTTAGTGTAGATAGTGGAAAAATGATAGCAAGACTGGAGGAAGACCGTCAGATTTTGATAG